AAAAAAAAAATCAACTGCTGTCCAACACACTGTTTGTTTAGGGTCTGGTGTCCCCCTCTGTGAGGTGACCCCAAAGGTGCCGCCTCTGCCCTCCTTCCTGGCCCGTCCTCCGAGTCTCTTCAAGTTCTGGCCTCCAGGCCTGAGGCTGGGGGTTGATCTGCAAACGGCCACTGCAGACGGGCACAGGCCACGGGTGCAGCCCAGCCCGAGGCGGGTCCTTCCGAGACGCAGCGGGCGGTGCCAGCAGGTGACAACCGCCAGGGGGGTGCAGTCGCCTGCACCCCAGGGGCGGGGAAGGGGCCCCCGTCGGCCCAGTGACTGGGGTCTTCCAGCTCCCAGAACCACGTGACCCCAGGGTGCTGATGCCCCAGGCTTGGCGGCTGCGCGGTACCAACAGTCCAGGCCTCCTCACGTATGCCCAGGCAGCAAATGGGCAGCACGGGCCTCGCGGCTCGGCCAGATCTAACTGATAATTTACCTTATCAAGCGAAAGGCCTGACTGCTTCACGCTCAATCTCCTTTAGGTGTTAGCAACTCCAGTCCATCAGAACTGGTCAGCCAGGAAGCGCCCTGCTGCCCACAGAGGCTACCGAGGGTCTGGGGTGGGCGTGGGACCCAAAACCTAGCTTTTTTTGAGGTCCATGATCCCCGCAGGCCAGTGGCTTCCCCAGGCCTTTCTGGAAGGGCTTCGGGGAGCCCGGCCCCCTGCCTCCAGAGGGGGGCCCCTGGACTGCCCCCTCGGGGAGGGCCGGCTGCAACCGAGGCTCACCGGCCTGTGGCTCGCAGGCCTCTCGGTCCCGGCCTGCCCGCCCGCGGTGCGTGGGTGTGGACATAGCTGGCCACGTGCTGTCAGAGCGTCCACGGGCATTGCCAGTCCTGGGATCTCAGAGGCCGCCGCGGGCAGCAGAGCCCAGCGGGCGGTGGGCAGGCAGGAGGGAGCCATGGCCTCACCTCTAACTGCTGTGTCTGCGAGGCGGCCAGGCCCCAGGAGAATCTGCCCGTAGCTGGGCAGCCTTACGGTCCTGCACTGCCCAGCGGTTGTGTCCACAAACCCAGTTTCAGCCGATCAATAGCTACTGGCCCCACCACCACTGAGGGCAGGTGCCCCAGGACGGCCCAGGCCCTCGGACCCCGCCGGCCACAGGTACAGGAGGGACCAGGCAGGCTGGAGCGCCCCAGGGCCACGGACCCCACGGACACTGGTGTCTGCTGGGCTCGGAGCCACGGGGGCAGCGTCAGGAGCTGCTGGGGGTGCTATGCCAGCTGGGGGTGCAGAATAGGGGTGCTGCCCTCACCCCGTCACCCCACTGGCCCCAGTCCCGTCACCCCTACTGTCGCCGCAGCCCCATCCTCCCCCCCAAGAAGGAAGCTAGCCCCGCCCGCTCCACCCTGCCGGCACCATCATGGCCCACCCAGACCCCAAATAAAGGTCTTGGGGCCCAGCTGCCGGCCGGTGGGCCTCGCCCAATCAGGCGCAGGCCCAGGAGGTGGGGCCCCGCCCCTGGCCTGGGGCTGAGCAGCAGCAACCCCCACCCCACCCCCGGGTTCCAGACCTGCCCATCTCGTATCCTGTGTCTCTGGAGAACTTGGACTAACACATGCGAACGCCCATATACTCAGGTGCTGGCCAGGCCTGGTCACTTGCATGCCCAGCACCCGCCGGCCCCGCACCTCACTGCCCGGCCTGCCGTGTCCAGCAGCCGGAGGGAGGGTGTGAGGCCGTGGCCCCTTCTTGGAGGGGGCCGCACGCAGCCCACTGGCTGGACTGGGTCACGCTGCTGGCCTGGGCGCGGGGCTTCGGTCAGCGCTCGGGATGCAGCCTGGGGGTGCGGAACCGCACCCCAATACAGCATTCCTGAGAGTGCCCAGGGTCGGGTCCACAGAGAGCGAGCTATTTAGAGGCATGAGCCTGGCGCGGTGGAGCGGGCAGCGGCTGCCCTGGGGGCCTGGCTGGGGGATCGAGCGCTGGGGGTGCGGGGGCCTGCCTGGCCCCTCCCAGCCAGGCCAGGTGCAGCAGAAGCCAGAGGCTGAACCAGAGGCTGGGCCGGGGGCCGAGACACCCACCGCAGGCGCGGGCAGCAGCGGCAGGCAGTGGACACTGGGGGCTTTGGCCCGGCCCAGCGCGCCGGCCACGCTGGGCCCTGGGTCTGGCTGAGCCGGCCGGGGGCGGGGCCGCGCCCCTGACGCCTGCCCGCCTGGTCTCTGGTCTCCGCAGGCGCGGGCAGCAGCGTGCACCACAAGTGCAACAGTGCCAAGCACCGGGTCATCTCGCCGAAGGTGGAGCCGCGCGCGGGGGGCTCGGGGGGCTACTCGGAGGTGCAGCACAACGACGTGTCGGAGGGCAAGCAGGAGCCCAGCCACAGCAAGGGCTCGGGCCGCGAGAAGAGGAACGGCAAGGTGGCCAAGCCCGTGCTGCTGCACCAGAACAGCACCGAGGTCTCCTCCACCAACCAGGTGGAGGTGCCCGACACCACCCAGAGCTCCCCCGTGTCCATCAGCAGCGGGCTCAACAGCGACCCCGACATGGTGGACAGCCCCGTGGTCACGGGCGTGTCCAGCATGGCGGTGGCCTCCGTCATGGGGAGCCTGTCCCAGAGCGCCACGGTGTTCATGTCTGAGGTCACCAACGAGGCCGTGTACACCATGTCCCCCACCGCCGGCCCCAACCACCACCTCCTCTCGCCCGACGCCTCTCAGGGCCTGGTCCTGGCCGTGAGCTCCGACGGCCACAAGTTCGCCTTCCCCGCCACGGGCAGCTCGGAGAGCCTGTCGATGCTGCCCACCAACGTGTCCGAAGAGCTGGTCCTCTCCACCAGCCTGGACGGTGGCCGGAAGATTCCAGAGACCACCATGAACTTCGACCCCGACTGTTTCCTCAATAACCCAAAGCAGGGCCAGACGTACGGGGGCGGCGGCCTGAAAGCAGAGATGGTCAGCGCCAGCGTCCGGCACTCGCCCCCCGTGGAGAGGAGCTTCAGCTTCACCACCGTCCTCGCCAAGGAGATCAAGACGGAGGACACGTCCTTCGAGCAGCAGATGGCCAAAGACGCGTACTCCTCCTCCTCGGCGGCCGCGGCCTCCGGCTCCCTCACCCTGACCGCGGGCTCCAGCCTCCTGCCGTCGGGCGGCGGCCTGAGCCCCAGCACCACCCTGGAGCAGATGGACTTCAGCGCCATCGACTCCAACAAAGACTACGCGTCCAGCTTCAGCCAGACGGGCCACAGCCCCCACGTCCACCAGACCCCGTCCCCCAGCTTCTTCCTGCAGGACGCCAGCAAGCCCCTGCCCGTCGAGCAGAGTGCCCACGGCGGCCTGAGCGACTCGGGGGGCACCTTCGTGATGCCGACGGTGAAGACGGAGGCCTCGTCCCAGACCAGCTCCTGCAGCGGCCATGTGGAGACGCGGATAGAGTCCAGCTCCTCCTTGCACCTCATGCAGTTCCAGGCCAACTTCCAGGCCATGGCGACGGACGGGGAGGTGACCATGGAGACCTCGCAGGCCACCGAAGGGGGCGAGGGCCTCCTCAAGCCTGGGGAGCTGCAGGCCTGCAGCTCCGAGCACTACCTGCAGCCCGAGACCACCGGGGTGATCCGCAGCGCGGGCGGCGTCCCGCTGCTCCCGGGCAGCGTGGTGCAGGGGCTGTACCCGGTGGCCCAGCCCGGCCTGGCCAGCACCTCCGGCATGGAGCTCAGCCTGGACCACTTCGACATCTCCTTCAGCAACCAGTTCTCTGACCTGATCAACGACTTCATCTCCGTGGAGGGGGGCAGCGGCGCCATCTACGGCCACCAGCTGGTGTCGGGGGACAGCGCCGCGCTCCCGCCGTCGGAGGACGGGGCACGGGCCCCCTTCGCCCAGGCGGAGATGTGCGTGCCCTGCTGCAGCCCCCAGCAGGGCAGCCTGCAGCTGAGCGGCGCCGAGGGCGGGGCCGGCGCTCTGGCCTACATGCACGTCGCCGAGGTGGTGTCGGCCGCCTCGGGCCCGGGCACCCTGGGCATGCTGCAGCAGAGCGGACGGGTGTTCATGGTCACCGACTACTCCCCGGAGTGG